CTTTCTCACCCTGCTCGGTTGGAGGCGTAACATGGATTCTTTATGGGCTGTCCTTTTTTTTTTTTTAATGATTAATTTCAATTTTTCTTACCAAATTAGGATTTAAAATTATGATGATTTAATCTTTTTTTTAACCCACAATTTAGGCTACAATTTTTTTTGGTTAAACTCTTGTCCTTCCTGTTTCGTCTGAAGCTCCAAAAAATCATTTGAATTCTCACATCTTATAAGCTATAGGGATTTAATTGTTTAGAGTTTAAAAGTTTAAGCCCTATCTTGAATTTCAGTACTCCAAATGCTATTAATAAAATAACCTATATAAGTTTTGATCTTAGCAAGGAATATTCCTATAAAAGAGGTTTGATCCCAGAAGTAAAGCAAATTTCTCTATCGATCTACACCCCCCCCCCCACCTTTTTTTCCCCATTTTTATCCTCTTTTATTTTGGTCCACGTGTTTTAACATGCATGTATGTGCCCATTAACAAAATTGGTGCATTTTTTTAATACAAAAATGAAAAAAATTAAAAATAATTAAAAAAATAATGAATAAAGAATACCAAAATGTACCAGTTATTTTTTAAATAAAGAATACTTAGAACTGAAGTGGACATAATTTTATTTTATGCAATATCAATTAAAAAATTTTAAATATATGGTATTCCCATTCAGTTTGGGAGGGCACTAAGCTATTAGATTAATATATCCTTAGCAAGCAACCATAAGTTCCATTTTTTATCATCAAATTTGGACCCACTGCCATGATTCTTTGACTTTGATGAAAATAAAACCTTATTATAATCTATTTAATATACTTTCATGTGGAAAATAAAATATGCATCATTGCCTTTGGCTATTGGAAATCGTTCATTTCACTATTTTGTTTTTTTACATACATTGCAGTAAGGATAAACTTTCAATAACTATATTGTTTATATTATAATCCATGCATTTTATATATACATTATATATTCTAAATAAGATCAAAATTATAAATTGAAATTTCACACCAAACCATAACAAACAAAGGTACGAGTATGTATGTACTTAATTTTTTTTTATTTGATAATTTTATTAACTTTAACTTTTGAAATGAAACATAATAGTGTTTGATATTATTTTTTAAAATTATTATAGTTATCAAATCATTGTGGTGATTAAGTGATGATCACCACTGATTTTAGATTACTATATTTAATATTATATTATAAATCACTAATATTTTTAAATCATTGTATTTTGTGTTATATGAAAAAATAAATCCTATAATACGATAAATTCAAAAGAACCTTATAAAAAAATCAAAGTATCTAATATTTATCGAATCAATAATTTATAAAATAATTAAACTTTATTTTATAGAAAACTATAAAGTGTAAATCAATTTTAATAAAATAATTTCTAAAAAATTATTAAATAAATTTATTATCTCTTTTATAATCAATATAAATTTATAACATAAAACATTTTTTAAAAATAAGTGATTATAAAAATTGATTTTTTTAATTTTTAGTGGGCAACTTTAATGTTAAATATAATTTTTGTGAAATTTTAATCAAAAAATAATATTAAAAATTACTTTGTTATTGTAATAAAATTTTCTCATCATATAAGTTAAAAATCATATTGCTTCTCAAGGTAATGATTTTATTATTCCAATAATTTAAAATTATCAAATAAAATGATATAATTATTAAATATAGATTAATGTGATTTTTAAATAGATCACTTCACGCAAAATACTCTTCCAATGACAAAAGTTAGTTGTAGGCTTAGTAGAATTGACTGAATTTGAAAAGTTGCTCGATATTTAATTGAATTTGAACATAATTCAACTCAAATTTATTTAAAAAAATTAATAAGCATAATTCGTTCAATCCAAATTTAAAATTATTCAAATTTAAATTTATTCATATATATATATATATATATATACATACAAATATAACTTTATATGATTTGAAAGTATAACTCAAAATAAAAATTAATTTAATTTTTTAACTCACTAATAAACTTGAGTTGAATACAAAACAAAATCATTCAAAATCCGGGATGAGTTGGATACAAAACGCTCAATAGCAACTTCTATTTAGTAGCCCGTCAGTGAAATTTGACTCCTCGAATTTTAGTACGATAAAGAAATATACATCGATCCAAGGCGAATGCGTTCTTGCCTTCTGGCACAATATAGCAACGACTACGAACTGTATCGTAGCCAACGATGTTGCATCAGCACTCGTGCTACTTGTCAGCTTACGGCGCTTCGTTAAAGCATGACGTGAGTTTTACATGCAAGGGAACGGAAGAGGAAAGTATTGTTTTCTTTTTTAAGAAAAAAAAAATGTTGTGGCTCTCATTTTAAGTGAGTCGGTGAAATTCGATGAATGGTTACTTTTTTTTTTTTTCTTATCCTTTTTGTTTTGTTTTCTGTTTGTTTATAACGAAAACCGTGCTGGATTTATTCTATCCCTTCTATGAATGGGAAAACTTATTTTTTAATCCCTTGCTTTAAATAAAAATATACAAGTTTTCCGTTACACTGTTTTTTATTTGTAGCCAATCACTTCATGTGTAACGTGAAGGCCCTTTTCTTTCAACGAGGAAAATCAAATCAAGCCAATCAACCAATCAAAGAAGCTAAGCACACAAACTTATACATGTGAAGACATCGTTTGTCTTCATGATAATTGGATTAAGACAAGAAAATCCATTTGGCCAATCAAAATTCATCAGGCTTCAAATCATCAAACTAATTAATTAATGAATGCCTTAAATACAATTAAGATATTTCAAGATTTGTTACTAGGTCATGAGTATACTTTGATATTGGGTCCATAAAGTTTTATTACTTTTTTTTATTAATTATCAAACAAATATTAAATTCCTACAATCTCAAGTTTCTTGAGAAAGAAATAATTTTGATAATGTAGTGCAATTCTATTTTGTTGAAAGATTAATTTGGATGGTCGATAAAATTAGTTTTAATAATATTAAAAATAATAATAAAAGTTATTATAATTATAATTATAAAATTATAAAAAAATTTATATTAAATGAAATTTATTAAAATTGATAATTACAATTAACTAATAATGTGATAAACTCGACTGCAACGCATTAAAAATATAATAAAATTCAAACTCAAAAGCTGATTTTCTTATTAAAAAACAAAAGAAAGTACTACAACAATAATATAATTATTTAAATTATGATATCATTATGACAATTTTAGTTTCAAATATAAAATTGTAAAAAAACAAAAAGAGATTTTGAAATTTTGGTGACAAAAGCAATCATTTGGTGTTAATTTTCTTTGATAATGTCAATTGACTTTAATTTAAGTGATTAATGTGAGATTGTATTTAAATACAAGATCTGAATAGTGTATTTCTCTCTTAAAAAGCATTTGTGTGATATATATATATATAATATGATTACAGTGTTTTTATATTTTATTTAGATTTAATTTTTTTAGATAATCTTAAAGGTATTTGATTTATTTCAAAATTTATTTTTGAAATATTTCAGTAAGAATTAAGTTTTGATTAACGAAAAATTAAAAAAAATGTTTCACATGAGTCAAATAGTCAACATATTATATTTATTTGCGCTAAATCTCATAAGGGTTACAAGATTTTGCCAGCTTGCATTGTCTTCGAAAGTTTATAAAAATTTCAATCAATTAATAGTTAGTTTAATTAGTTAAGGATTGTTTTTTTTTATAAAAAATTTTGAATTTGAATTTTATTGATGATCATTTATTAATATCATATTAAATGCATGACTTATAATTATTTATTTTATATTATCAAATATGACATATCTTATTTTAATTTAAGAGATTAAATAATTTATTTATTTTAAATTTTTTATAAAAAAAGAAAAAGTTTATAAAAAATCCGACATTAAATGCCAATTGCCAAAGTCATCAAATTACAAGTGACGCTGACATAATGCAATTTTTTTTCTTCTAATCGTTATCTAAGAAATATCACAAAGCATGCAACCATTTAAGCCCTGTTTAAGTCAAAAGATTTGCGGAAACATTTTTTTTGTGAGAAGTCCCTATCTTAAGGACAAACAAAAATTTGTAAGGACAAATATTTAAATTTTAAATTTATTAAATATTAATTTTTAAATAATTATATGTATCGAGTTAAATTTAAATTTTATAAATAATTTGGATTAAAACATTAAAGAAGGTCTTAAATTATTTTATTTTTTAAAAAAATTCTCATAATTTTTTTTATAAAAAAAATTACAATTTAAGAATTATAAAAAAAATTATAAACACTAAATTTTAATTTTTTATTTATCGATACCACTTAAAAATTACTATATAAACAAACTAATTTATTGATTCAATTTAATTGCACTCAAATAAATACTTTTTTTTATTTATATCAAAATAAAATTTTATTTCAAATAAAAAATTAATTTATATTAAAATTTTATTTAAATACAAATAAAATATTACAAATTTATTTAAATAAAATTAATAATTAAAAATTTATTATGATATAAATTAAAGTTTAAAAATTTATTTAAATATAATAAAAATATAAATTTATTTAAATAAAATAATAAAATGTATTAGTTTTTTTATTATTTTAACCAAGAATTTATCTTAATTTAGACCAACGTTTCAAATTCAATTATTCCGATAGTCAAAAACCAGAATCTAGATTAGTCTCTAAACGCCGCCCCAAAAAAGAGGAAATTGAGGGATAAAAAACAACCTTATTTTTAATAAAAGCCCAAAAATAAGTGGCAACATCACACTTTTCCAAGGAAAGAAAAAATGGAACACCCAAAATAACAAGAAGAAAACTTCAAAAAAAAAAAAAAAAAGAGTCCGTCAGCTTTTTACAGCACAGATAACAAACAAATCAAACCGTCTAAAATATCAAAGTCTCTCGAAAAAGTTTCTTCATTAACAAAAACCGTCACATGCAGTTACTCAAAGCTACCGAAGACCATTCCAATGGCAATCCCGTCATTTGGAACAAAATTAAGGATACTTTCGTCATTTCAACTTTACTTTTTCCAATGACGACATGATCTTCCCCATTCCCATTCCCCTCCCCTCAGACACTATACAAGGGCTCCAGTTTTTGTTTTTATATTCAGGAAAACCCGCGATTTTCTCGATGGTCATTGCTTCCGCTTATATTTTAATATTTCATTTTTTTTCTCATTGATTCTTTCTCTTTGCAGTGACCAAAAGAATACATAAAACTTCTGTCTCCTTTCTCTTCCAAAACCGTTTGTGCCCTCAGTTTTGGTTGGGTTTATAACAATATTAAAAGCCAAATCAACTGTATGTAGTCTGTTCGACCTACTTGTTTTTTTTTTTTGTTCATTGATTCATTGACTGATATCTTCGTTTTTTCAGAGCTTGCGTGTCTGGGTTTTTCTTGGGGTTGTTTGATTTGCAGGAGTTGCATGGAACGAGCGAGTAGTTTTGGGAGGAGTTGACAAGTGAGGGAGGAGGAAGAAGAGAGAAAGAGAGAGATAAGTGATCTCGTGAGGGCCGTGAGAAGATGCCCCACCGAACAACTTACTTCTTCCCTAGGCAATTTCCCGATCGTGGGTTCGATGCATCTTCCAAACAACTATTGGATCACGAGAAAAAGCTCGTCAAGGAAACGTCAACAACAGCTACATCAACAGCGGCTACTGTCGAAAATGAACGCAATAAGTCAATCTCAAGGAGAGCTACAAACGAGTTTACCACGCCAGCTGCTAAGACCAACAACAACAACAACTCTCCGCTATCAGATCTTTTCAAGGACGAAAATTTTCATGCCAAAAAGCAACAGCTCGCCGCTTTCCGCGATTGGTTCATCCAGAAAAAAGCTACTACTGACAGATCACGTCACGTGAAACCTTCCTCTCGACGTCTCTCTTCGACTACTGATCATGATGAAGATCGCCAGCTGTTATTACCTCCGGAACCAGCTCCACCGCAGACAACTTCCCCTCCTTCTCCTTCTCATCCAGCACCTGCTCCGGAAACCACCACTGTCGTTAATGACCGTAGCGTTGACCGCAACTTTGATTGTCAGGTGTCACTGCCGAGGTTCTCGAGTGGTAGTAGTTATGCAGGGAGTTTGTTTTCTGGGACGGCATTAGATGGCAACTTTTCGAGTGAGGTTAAAGATATATGGACTAACGAGTCGTCGTTGACGACTGTGCCGGCGACAAGGGAAGTCGAGGAACCGGTGGCAGAGGAGGAGAGTAAAAATAGCTTAGTGCTCAAGTCAAGGGAGAGTTATTATTTACAGCTTATGCTGGCCAGGAGGCTTACTTCTCAAGCAAGTCTCCTCAGTGAACCCTCGCTTTTACAAGAATATCGTGGACCTGATGTCGCCGATGCAGAAACTGTTTCTTATCGACTTTGGGTATTTTATTTTCTCATCATTTTCGCCTGAATTTAATTTTATTTCTCTTGCAAATTACTGTATATTCATATTCAAAATTAATGAAACTATAAAAAGTTTATCTCCCAAGCACAATCCAAAACAAACAATAAATCTTCATGTACAATAAAAAATCCATTTTCCTTTTCAAGTTTTGTATTTTTTTTTATAATTTTTGTATTAATGTGATGGCTTTGTATTTAATTTTCAGGTTAGTGGGTGTTTATCATATAGTGATAAGATATCAGATGGTTTTTATAATATTCTTGGGATGAATCCGTATCTATGGGTGATGTGTAATGAGTTTGAAGAGGGAAGACGCTTACCACGTTTGATGTCTCTTAAAGAAATTGAACCCAGCGAGACATCCATGGAGGTTGTTCTTGTTGATGGACGCGGGGATATACGCCTCAAAGAGCTTGAAGATAAAGCACAGGAGTTATATTGTGCTTCAGAAAATACCTTAGTGTTGGTTGAGAAACTTGGAAAGCTTGTTGCTATATACATGGGGTAAGGTGGTTTTTTTTTTTCAATTTTCTCGATGAGGTATTTCTTTTTCACTGTTTCTTATAAATTCATTGTGCCTGAATTGTTTTGAAATTAGGGGAACTTTTCCAGTGGAGCAGGGGGATCTTCACAAACGCTGGAAATTGCTTAGTAGGAGATTGAGGGATTTTCATAAGTGTATCGTGCTCCCCATTGGCAGCCTATCAATGGGACTTTGCAGGCATCGTGCAATCCTCTTTAAGGTGCCAAAAGAATGGCCTGTTTTTGTTTGTACTTTATCTCTTATGCACAAATTCTCCATACTCCTATGACCAATCCACACTAGCACACGCTAACTGCCGTGGCCCTGTGGTCTGTTAGTCAAGTGCTAAATTCTTAATTACAATGATCAGGTTTAATCCCTGCCAATATAGAAAAATCCACACGCAAATAAAAATAAAAATGATAGGGGTGGTTTGACATCTGCTTCTTTTATTGGTATAAACTATAAAGAAGAATGTTTTGATTTGAAGAATTACTGTCTACATTTGACAAGCCTTTAATTATCCTTGTAGATATAACTTTGAACAATTGTTTTGTAGAGATAGTTTTGAAACCATTGGATGTTATTATACTTTTAGTTAAGTGGTTGGATAGTCTAAATCTTGGATTAAACTTCTAGTATTATGTTCCTTAGAATAATGACGAATAGATATTCCTTGTTTTGGTATTGGCAATGACTTTGTTGTAGATCCTCTGTATAAAAATTTTCAAAAGAAAGTTTAATTGAGGTAGTAAATGAGCAAAGCCAATATAATGAGTTGAAGTGGATTAGCAACTGCTATTTAGTCTGTGTCGGGACGTAAAATGGAAGGGCAGATTGTGACCTAGTTGATCTTGGGATGTCTGGAAAAGAGGGTTGGCGTTAATCATCTTTGAGAAACCGTAGTTTGTAGAGGGTGGTTGTGTATCTTTGGTCTCATTTGCCCCATTGCTAAACAAAGTTCTGGGTACGGACAAAAATTAACTTGAATGTTATTACTACTATCTTGTGTACTAAGAATGATTTAGTATATTTCATTTTGTTAAAGTATACGCTTGGTCACACACATTAAATTAAAGGAAGGAAGTTGCTTTTTTTCTTTCTTTCTTTTGGTACGTTTGTTCTGTTTCTTCTTTGGCCAGAAATCCTCTTCTGAACTGAAAAACCTTTTGCTTATATATATTTTGTTTGAAGATTTGGATTGGCAAATTTTTCTTTTTTATTTTGATCCCAAGTGTTTCTAAAGTTTTTATATTATTGGAAATGCCTCTCTTATATAAATTTTTAGTAACAAGGACTGCGATGTCATAAAGTACAAGAATTTTTTAAAGCATATATAAATGTCTTAACAGGGGGCATCAGTATTGCAACCAAATTAGAAGCATCAGTGACACCCAGAACTATAGCAGTCCATTATGAGTATTCTCTATTCCATGATAATTCAATGAGGTATTTGTAGTCTGCCATGGTGAATTCATAAGGTTTTTGTAATAGTTGATTCTTGTGGGGTCTTCATGGGAGGATCAGGCCAATTTCTTTCTCTTAACCACATTTTTTTTCTTGAAAAATGAATTTTGCTTTTTCAAACCAGGTGTTATACAATGAACTTAGCTTCTAAAACTTTTAAATCCTCTCTCTTTCACAATTTAAAAGATTTAAAATAAGATGTTATGAATAATCTACTTGCCAAATATGGGTTATCTTATTCTTGATTGAGTGATGTACTGCATTACTTGGTTCGCTTAGTGGCTTTATGCTGCTAGACCAGGATATCAAATGAAGAATGTTTGAATTTATTGGTTTCTGTGTATATGTTAATGCATGAAATGTATTTATGTACTTACGGCCTGATCACCCTTCAAATGTAGATTTAATATATGATGATCTTGCAGAAGATGCGTCTCTTTTGGGATCCTTCACTAAGGTGGTGTATTGTTTGCATATGCAGAAATTGGCAGACTATATAGGTTTGCCATGTAGGATTGCTCGAGGATGCAAATATTGTGCAGCAGATCATCGTTCTTCTTGCCTTGTCAAAATTGAAGATGATCGTCGGTCATCAAGGTAAGATACTCAACTTTTAGTTTGTATATTTGCTAATAAGATGAAGATAACAAAATATTTAGGAACAATTTTATGTTATTATTTAATTACTTGCATTAAGAAAATTTGTTATTCTTTAATCTTGTCTATTTTATAAATTGTTGGTTGGGTCGGGCAGAACAGTTCTCCTGAAAGAGGAGTTTACCAGACGAGTTTACCCTCTCCATTCCTTTCTCTCTTTCGGATGAGTAAGGAAATGGGCCTAACTCCATTCGCTGATGAACCCTTAACCTCGTTCTTGGTGACGTGTGCCGTCTACTCAAAATATTTAGGAACAATTTTATGTTATCATTTAATTACTTGCATTAAGAAAATTTGTTATTCTTTAATCTTGTCTATTTTATGTTGTCCGAGTGATCTAAATCTTTTAGACTTCATACCATCATAGTTCATCATTCCTCTATGATATCATTATGTCAGGATATTGATAGAATTTCATCCTGTCTCCAAGTGTTTTTTGTTCAAGAATTTGTCTTTCTATTTAATGTTTTGTTGCTCAGAGACGAATACATTTTTTAACAGGGAATATGTAGTTGATTTAGTTGGAGAGCCAGGAAATATCCATGGTCCAGATTCCTCTATTAATGGAGGATTCCTCTCTTCAATGCCTTCACCATTTCAAATTTCTCATCTAAAAGAATTCCAACAACCTTACATGGATAATGCATCATATTGTCAGATTAGAGACTCAAAGAATTCAAGTTCTCATTTCGAGAATCCTCTACATTCTGGTACATGTTTTTACACAAATTCTGCAAAATAGACCAAATTTTTAAAACCAAATTAAAAAGTGGAGATCAATCTCTTGTAGGTGGCATTGAGAAATCTCAACAGTTGAAGGACAATGGTTTGCTTGAAAATCAAAAGTCATCAGTATATGTACCAATTGATCAAGATTGTTTTGGAAAGGAATCATATTTGATGCCTTTTGAAACTGCAGCTGGATCAACAATGCATGAAAATTCTAGACTCGGTGAAGACAAAGTTGCCATAGAACAAACTCTTAGAAAAGAGATTGTTGAATCTGGAAGCTCAGTCGTTAAAAGTGTGAAGCAATTGAAAGTTAACTTGCCTAGTCAGTCAGCTCCGGAGGAGATAGGGGCTGAACTTGATAGTCGGGGCAGATTCTCCGCTGTAACCATCCCCAGATATCTAAATCTTGAACCTTCTCTTGCAATGGATTGGCTTGAGATAGCATGGGATGAATTGCATATAAAGGAGCGTGTTGGTGCTGGTACTTCTTTCTTCTTAATTGGATATAAGTTCTACTTCTCCGTTATCTTTCCTTTTCTTTTGGCTCCTCTATCAGAAGATAACTGGTTTTGCATGAAATCTCATTTTGCAGGCTCATTTGGAACAGTTCATCGTGCTGAGTGGCATGGATCAGTTAGTATTTCCTCTATTTTTTTTCTCGCAACTGAAAATCATTGGTGTTTTAATTCCATGGATGAATGATTGTGACATCAATATGTTTCCTTAAATAATGAATCTGATGTAGAATGCAGTACTCTTATGCATATTTGCTATCTTTGCCAACTTGGCTTGATGAATGAATATCTTTGACGTGTTTTATTTATCCTAAGTGAGGAAGGTCCGGTACACTTTGTCAATCAGTTTCTAGCACCGCAGATTAAAACCTTGCCTGAAGGAATCTAGTTTACATTATGAACTTAAGTTCTGTTAAATTAAAGGAGGTTGAGAATCTTGTCTTCAACTGATTCTGTAATGAACTAATAAATGAACTTACGGTGATTGTACCTAACACACCATGTAGGAGTAGTGAGTATTAGTGATATATGACATGCTCGTGCTGTTGCAGACGTGTAACAATGTACAAGTTGATTTTTCTTACATGATAGACCATACTATCTTGAAATACTTGGTATGGGCATTAGTCTCAGGAATGGAATCAACTGTTTTTTTTTTTTTTGTTTGTTTATTTCTTTGTTTGGCTACATTATCAGCTTATTTTTGGGATATTTTTCTTTTGTCACATTGTTTTATTGCCTTGAGCAAATAAACAATTGCTGTTCCAATGCAGGATGTTGCAGTCAAAGTCTTGACTGTACAAGATTTTCATGATGATCAGTTGAAGGAGTTTTTAAGAGAGGTGTGTACTGGATAAAACATAAAAAGAAAAATATTGTTATTATCCATATTGTGTTAGCATTACATATTTCTTTTGACCGGTTCTACTTTCTCAATGCATACGTGTTCTATAATTTGTGTACAGATGTCCATGCTACATCCTTTTTTGGGACATCCATTTATGTGCATTAATGCATTCCAATTTTGTGCTTTATGGTCAATCCTGTAGTTATAAATATTTGTGCTTGGAAAGCTCTTTCCTTGTGATACATTTGGCATGTTGCATACATGGCCAAGTTCTCATGTAAATTACTCCTATCTTTGCATGTTCTTGAGTGAGATGATAGTCATTTGATACGACTATAGCTTAAGTTCTGATGCATGTTTTTAGGTTGCTATAATGAAACGTGTTCGACATCCAAATGTGGTCCTTTTCATGGGTGCTGTTACAAAGCGGCCTCATCTGTCAATTGTGACAGAGTACCTGCCAAGGCAATCAACTAATTTCTTATTATGATAATGAACTGATATTTATTTGTGAAAATATATCTATGGCTAAGACCTGGCTTTTGTCAAGCAGGGGTAGTTTATATCGCCTTATTAATAGGCCAGCTGCTGGGGAAACACTTGATCAGAGGAAGCGATTACGCATGGCATTGGATGTGGTTTGTACTGTTTTTTACTTGCACATTTTATACTGATGCCACTTGTTGTTAGGACAAAATTCATGTTTTATGTTGTAAACAGGCCAAGGGGATCAATTATCTTCATTGCCTTAATCCTCCCATAGTTCATTGGGACCTTAAATCACCCAATCTTTTGGTTGATAAGAATTGGACAGTAAAGGTATGATAAAAAGAGTTTTTCGTTTTGCAAATTCGTGTATTTTTTGTTTCAAATTCATGACTTCATCTTCTTATGTCATGCTCAGGTGTGTGATTTTGGACTGTCCAGATTTAAAGCGGATACTTTTATATCATCAAAATCTGTTGCAGGAACTGTAAGTAGCCCATGACCTCCTTTTTCACTTGCACATAGGCAAACTACCCATGTACAGACACCAATAGGTGGTCACTAAGATTGCTTTTAAACTTAATTATTTCAAATAACGTGAAATATTTGATTAAATGTGACTATTTGATCATGAACTGTTGCCAAAGGCAATATCAAATATAAGGTGCTTGAGCCGTTGTTGGTTTGCCATGTGGGTTGATTCCAAATCATGGCATTATATTCCGTATTAAGGGACAACAAACACATTATTCATTATTATAAAAACTTTTCTATGTTCAGTTTTGTCCAATGATAGATATCATAATTGCAGACTCGCATTTTGTTTTCCATATAAAGTCAGCTATTTCTGTCAATCTCTTGTCCATGGAAGAAAATTTTTCTCACGTCATCAATCAAGATGTAAATCTCTTGTTTTTTTATTTTCAGCCTGAGTGGATGGCTCCGGAATTCCTTCGTGGAGAGCCTTCAAATGAGAAATCTGATGTTTACAGTTTTGGAGTGATCCTGTGGGAGCTAGTGACCATGCAACAACCTTGGAATGGACTCAGTCCTGCCCAGGTGGATCTATTTGGTTTTTCTAGTTTTCATTCTGGTTCCTTTCTTGTATATTTCTTACCATATGCAATCATAAATGTCAAATGTTATTGTTGTTGGAGTTATTATGAGTAAAAGGTAACGAAAGTGCATTTCCCTGCTGTATATGTACGATTCCTATTACCCCCTTTCTTTATGTCTAATAGTGGCTCAAATTTTAGGTGGTTGGTGCTGTAGCTTTCCAGAACAGAAGGCTCTCCATTCCTTCAAATACCTCCCCAAAGTTGGCTTCCCTCATGGAATCTTGTTGGGCAGAGTGAGTATGCTTAGTCCTATGATTTATTCACCGCATTTCGATTTGTATGATGATGACTTAAATTAGGTAAAATGTAGAAGGCTACCTTTTGTGTGTATTGCATTAGCTTTAACAAAAAAGAAAAAATGACAGGGAGGGCATATTGCTGGTTTACGTTTGGGTTGGTCATGCAACCAGCTTGCTTTAGATGTCCTTGACAGATTACTGTAGTTATGCCTTAAAAAAAGGACAGTTACTGTAGCTGAGTATTTCTCAGATTGCTCAAGTCATACCAAGAATACTAGAACTTTTTGTGCTTCCTTAATATTTGTATGCTTTTGTTTACATTAATCGCATGTTTTCTATTCCTGATGATGGTTACATTTTGTTCTTAATTTGTAGTGATCCTGCCCAACGGCCATCTTTTGCTAACATAGTCGAAGCATTAAAGAAGTTGCTCAAGTCTCCATTGCAGTCTATGCAGATGGGAACGCAGTAATGATGGCCCTCAACTGAAGCCATTCCTTCTGTTGGAATAACCTGAGCTGACTTTGGAGATTTAATTAACTACAGCAGCACCTGCAACTCTTGGCCGTGTAATGTTATTCCACTAACCGAACCTTTTCAGCTCCAAGGCAACTTTAGATGCCATCTAACTCATTTGGAAGGCGGTTATAAATCCCATTAAAATTGAGGACTACAATATATATATATATATATATATATATATATTATAGCAAAGCGCTATAGCTAACTTGCTGTGTTTATATAGGTTTTTCGATGGGGCCGCCTTCCCACATAAGCTATTTTCAAAGTGAAAATCCGAAGGATTTAGGAATTCGGAATTTACTTTGATATGTATTTTCTTTGTAACTGATGCTGCATATGGGCTTTAACCGTAATCCGTATTCTATCAATGTTGTTGCTTTCTCGTGCTAATAGTAGAACCAAACTTTAAGATGCCAGTAAGTCCTCTGGCCTGTAGTTTGTATTTGTGCTTTTATGCTTTTCAGGAAGTCCGAAAACTAACCAAATTCCATTCTACTAATTGAAAATGCACTTTGTCTCGGGTTGTTCTGTTCTGAAGCTGCTGGGAGTTGGTTGTGAGATCAAGAAATTATTCAATCGCGAGTCATTTTTTCTACTGCTGTAATCTGAGATAATGTGGGGGAAGACAAACCCAATATAGCTTTATAAACGATGTCTTTTAGGTAGTAATGTATCTATCCAACATAACATCAAACATGTGAAGGGCTGGACGATCAGTCCTTATATCGTCAACTATAGAGAACTTTTGAAGTATAGTTGGCCAAAAGAAATTACCAAAGGATAAACCCGAGCTGCAAGGCTCAGCCGGAAAGGAAAAATGAAGCACAAATGCTATGAATTCTATCTCGATCTAATAGCTCAAGGGATTCTCAAAAGGGAAAAAAACACTAGAAAAAAAAAAGGATAATGCTACATATACATGCATTATGCACTATTTTTTTTCTTAATTTAGTCTTTATATTGTTTAATTTTTGTATGAAATTTGTGTAAATTGTTATGTAATCGTCCCACCAAACATGGATGAAACTTGGGGCAGGCGATGGTGGTTGCCTTTAGAATTTAATTTTATATAAGTTTAGACAAATAAAAAAATTATAATCTCGCACTAAAGTTAAATATAAAGTTTTCATCTCTGAAATTGAAATCCTAGTTTCGTTACTGCCAAATAAAAGAATGGCTGACGGATTTTTTTTTTTGGGTGGAATAAATGGCTTACAGATTAAAAAAAAAAAAAAGAAATTTCCTGTTTCTAATGAGCAGTTGAGTTGTTTCTAATTGTTGAGTTTAATTCCCAGGTTTATAAGGTTTGGACCTTGGGTCCATCTAAACCATTCATTTTTATTATTTTTTTTAGAAAAGTTTAAATCCAATTTTTTTAGCATAAATGGATTAAGTATTATCACATCAAATCTATTAGGAAGTTAACACAATCTTTTATCATATAAATTTGTTTCAATTTGTCAACAGTCATCAAGAGTTTAAAATTCTAAAAATCTTAAATATTAGTAAAAAGATATTTTAATTCAAATTTAAGTTAAACATTATTAACATGAAAAAAACCCTTAACTATTAGCCTATGGGCTATGGACATGGGAGGAGGGGACATGGTTTAACTTCATCTTGCTCTGGCTTAGCCCGACTATACCTCCAAAGCAAAGGTGCGTTTGGACTTGTTCACTTTTTTTGTACCGTCCGTAGTTAATTCGTCCAACAAACAAGGAACTTCCATCCAAGTTAAACCAAATTGACGGCCAATGTCTCAACCGTCGTAATTTCAACCACCATTTCCTTCCCCTCCAAAAGCATACCTTTTTCTTTTAGTCCTCTGTTTTGAAAGGTTAAGTGAAAGATGTGGACTGATCTTCTTTTACAAGGCGCTTTAATTCTTGTTACGATTTTCATGTTCCTCGCCATGCACGATATCCCCAAAAAGATCTTCACTAAATTCCGGTATCGGAATCGAGCCGACTTCCAAGCTAAGCGCCACTTTGTCCTCGGAGCCCAGCTTCTTTCTCAAGCCAGATCCTCCAAGTCTCGCTCATCCACCACTTCTTTAGCCAAACATGCCGAATCCGAAGCTGAGAAGGCTATTTCTCTTGACCCAAAAGACGCCGCCGCTTACATCCTCAAAGCACTCGCTCTTGATCTCCAGGGCTTCAAGACCTCCGCTCTTGACTCCCTTGACGTCGCTCTCTCCCCTCTTGCTTCCAAGTCGTTGACTGATGAAGAACGAGGCGACGCTCTGTTTAAACGAGCCGAGTTGAAGATGTCCATGAACCGCCGAGGCAGCCGAGTGGACTCGGCGATCGACGATTTGACCAAGGCTGTAGAATTGAGTGCGGATAACGTCAAGGCGTTTTGTCTGTTGGGAGAGTGTTATAAATTGAAGAAGATGAAAGCCGAAGCTAAAGCAGCTTTCGAGGAGGCTCTTAAGGTCGAGCCCAGCTCCAACGCTGCTCGCACCGCCCTTGACCGGTTGAGCTCGTAATTGGGTCCTCTTTTTTTTTTTTTTTTTTTTAATTCGTCACCTTGTTTTTGACGTTATTGTTTTAAAATTTTCTATATATTGTAGCTTAATTGGTTAAAATTATTACAAATATAAAAGACAAATGCTTGTTTTGAATTTTGTTCAAATTGGAAAAGATTCTCGACTCCATGAATCTGTTGTAAAAAAAAAAAGAAAGGGAAACAAAACAAGACACAGCTGACAACAATGTAACATATTGTCAGTTCATAAATGTCGTTTTGAGGTTTGTCCTAGTTTCTGTTCATGTAGCACTTTTGGTTTGAATTTTCAATGAGAAACCATTCCCGAGATCATCTTGTAAGCGTTTCAACAGAGGATCATAAATCTACAATGTTGATGTTCAAATTAACCAACTTTCAGGGTGATCCTATGGTTCTGGTCCGGATCTTTGCCACATTAATCGCCTCCCAAAATATTCCCCGAATTTGGATTATCTTCATAAAAGGAACTGTTGTAACAATCTCAAACAAAACAATTCAACTTAACTTCTATAGAGGAATTTGACAGCTTCTTTCGGTCTCCTTTTCCCGTGTTAAAGCTGCTTTTTTCGGAAAAATAACATTCAATGTGACTGAAGGAAAATGAAGCATGACTTATACAGATACACACCTAGAAGTTTCAGCGTGAGTTTTTTCAACCGGGGCTGGCTACTGGGCTCATTTTAGTTCTGAACCTGGCTAATATAAGCAGAGCAGGCTCTGTTTCTAGATGGTTAGGATGTATCTCTCAGGTAAATGTTACAGTTTTGAGACTCTCTTTGCATAAAAGTATGTAATTCCAACCAGGAATGAAAGTCTACTCGAACTTATGGTCTTCCTCTCTGGTTGTCTCAAAATGTTAAAGGATATGATGCAGCAGCCGCGTAATGAACATACCATTGTTGGTTGACTAATACCATTCAAAGAACTTAGTTGAAGACGAAGAAAACTAACCCCGAGTAGATTAGGCTAACCCCAACTATGTTTCTGACCAGAAAAGAGAAATTTTTACTTGATTACTCCAATGACCCACCTTGGAACTTGACCTGGTTAGATGACTCATTGCAATCTGCTATTGTGTATTAAATTGGTAATCTGAGAGAGCAGAAGCACTCCCTCATTGCTTGCATTAGCCTTCAGTAGCTGAAAAGAAGCTAGAAAGTTTCTATAATGGACCAGGGATATTTATCTCTGTGCTCTGCTTGGAGTGCTTATATATGTTACCTTAAGCACATGTTTCCATGAATTACATAACAATTTGGAGGAACAGAACAAAGAACATCTCGCGAATATGTTGAAGCCTGAAAACGCTGTGAACAAATGAGGGACGAAAAGAAAAAGTAATCAAATTAATTTTTCCACAATTTCTCTTTTTATGGATTACTGCAATTTTAGTTTGTTTCTATTCACTTGTGACTCATATTTGCAGTTAAGCAACAAGGCTTTGGGGCAAGAAACATGAGTGATGGCTTCACAGCATTGGCAATTCAGTTCCTCCATTTCTTCCTGGCGAAATGTTTGCAATTCAAATACCTTCTGGTGCTGCAGCCTGCTCCTTTTATGTCTATGCCATTTTGTCTATCATTTATGCGATCAATCTCCAATCAACCTTAGTAATAACTTTTCAAGACATAACTCTATGGTAGAATAAATCTAAACATGTTTTCTCTCCATATTTACATTCATCATTTCATTCTGAAGTTCTTATAACTGGTTATTAAACAGTTGATACAGAAGGACATAAACATTTCTGAGTTCATAAACATTTTTTAGTTCATACCGAGTTCAACATCTGGATAAAAGGAATTTTTTTACTACGCAAGGAAGTAGAAGGAAGTTTTACATGTATAAAGTGAACAAGTACTAGATTAACGTTTTACATGTGTCCAAGCAGACTTATCTATTGGTCGGACTAGATCCGACTGGCCTTTGAAATCCCTTGACCGATGCCAATGCCAACCCATCGGCTTGAAAAGATCAAATTACTGTTAAAAATATTAAAATAATAAAAAATATATTTTATATTAATATTTTATATATCCTTAAAGTTAAATTTGAATAAAAATATTTTTTATTAATTTATTAGGATCAGGTCAAGTTTAGGCTCCAAAATTCATATTTATAGCCCAACTTATAAACAGGTCTAATGTAAGTCCAATAAATCTATAGACCAGACAACGTACTCAGCAAAACAAAAGGGTTAATTAATACTATGATTTATTTTGTTGGAGGTTGACTTTGTGCTCTGCAAGACTCAAATCTGTAACAAAACAATCATTTCTTATATTTAAATTACATAAACTTTTATATGGCAAACCACCAGATGCTGAGGAAGTCAGACAAGAAAGATCAATGAACAATGAACATCCCTACTTCCTCGTTTAGTTTTGACAGAAAAGCTTCAAGATTATTAAAAATTATTAATCAAGCATGACCCGGCAGATTGACTCGGTTTCTGATGGGATATATTTCGGCAAAAAGACTCTATTCCATCCGACCAACAAAAGTATAATTAAATAATTAATCAATTATATAAGAGATAATAATTTAATGTAATTCGTCCTAATCAACTTATGTCCATGAATAAAAAAATTCACTAATTGCAAAAAATTACAAACAAATATTAACTCAAATACTTACAATTAATATTCATAGACCCTCTCAATCTACTTTGGTCTTATAGAGTATTTTTAATTTAAACAAACACATACTCATATGCACCTATACACCATACCTATGGACTCTCTCAGTTTCTTCTAGTTCACTCACAAATATTCAAACATACACACCATGTAAATCTTTAATAGTCCTATGAGATGTTTATCCCATAAAATTCTATAATTCTCTTACATATTTTTTTCATACCTAATCATATAGAGACTTCATCTATTTATAAGTATACAAATTTACCTATCAAGAATCCATTTCCTTTTAAAATTTTTCTTTGCAAGTCTTCTTATCCATCAAATGATATTTAGCCAATCCCAAACACTACTTATAAGCATACAAACTTATCTATCAAGAATTTATTTTTTATTAGAATTCTTTTTGCAAGTTTTCTTATTCATTAAGTAATATCTAGCCAATCCCAAACAAATCTCTTATAGGATTTAAGTCATTATTCTCAATAATCTCTACCTTATCTCAAATTCTATCAAATTATTTATCTTCATGCTAGACATGTTTGGCTCTACTTGCAATGAAAGTCTCTCAATTATCTTCTCTTGTGTGTCTTTACGTTTCACGTAAATCTATTCTCAATCTTCAAAATACAAACTCAAACTCTTTTTTTCAATCGAGCTCTTTTAACTTTATCTCTTCTCATGTTTTAAACTTTCAGCTCTGATACCACTTGTTTGAAAAAAAAGGTGCCTGATCAATTAACCATTCATGCCAGCGGATGTTAGTAGTTTAGAATGTGGTACATCTCACATTGGATAAAAAAATTTAATTGTTAATGAATAAAATTAATTTTTGTATTAAATTTATTTATATTTTAAATAATTATGTTTGAACAAAAACAATTATTATATGACAAATGATCATAACTATTTAATATAAATAGATTATTATTTATAAAGATTATGATTATACAGAAGATCATAACCATCTGAATAAAAGTTTATGTCTGTTCATTTATTATAAATAAATCTTTTAGTATAACTATTTTCACTACTACTGATTAGAGAGTTTAAAGCTTTGTTGTATCTTAAAGGTATAATTACCTTTAAGAAAGTGTTTTTCACGCCTCAAAGCCAAAATTTTTTATTATTATTCATCTTCTCTTATTTATTTTTTCTAACAATTTAAAAGCAATTATTAAAAATTTATATTTTACACATGAAGATACAAAGGAAAAAAATTGGTATGATTTGTAAATCAATATTAAAAGCGGCTCAAGGTGTCAAAGGCTTAATGTTTCTATGGACCAAAATATTAATTTTTATAAAGATCTTTATTAGAGGTATGTGTTTTATGTTTTACATAATTGCTGGTAAAAAGATTGATTGAATAAGATAAACTCGTTAACAATTTATTTCATTAGTATATACAATCAAAACACAATATGCAAAATATTAATTACATTGTATAAGTTTATGCATATACTGAAATTGACTCCACAATTGAATTTAATGAATTGTATTATATTTATTTGAAAAATCGATACTTATAAAGAGTAAGATGGGAAATAGCTTGAAAATATAAAAGAAAAAAACATGAATTGATCTACAGTCAAAAGAATTATCACTTGTTATCAAGTAACGAATTAAATTGGGTCCTAATGGAATGACCGATTGTTTAATTGTTATATCTTTATTATATATAAAACAAACAAATTGTCCCATGGTTTCTATGAAAAATAATCAGAAATGGGTAAAAGAATTTACCATGAGATATTAGATGCAAGTAGAAAATATATGCAAAAAATAAGATTTGGCTACAAGATTAGTTTTATTATTAAATCATGACACCAAAATTGAGATAATAAGTTGAGTCAAGCTATTTGTATAATTCTATCATTGTTGATCATTTATAAATCAAATGTTAATATATATATTTAAAATTTATTATTGGTTCAAATTTTTACTAGTGTTCAATTTCCATGAAAATCAATTAAAATTAAATTGATATACGTGAATAATTATTATTAAGATATGATATTTCATAGATTAATTGGTGGATAATAAACCAAATAATGATTATTATCAGAAACATTGGTAGTATGACATGTATTTTGTTTGCTGGGTGTATTACACTAGAAGTGATTTTACAAAATAAAATTTTATTATGAACAATCACAAAGTGAAAATCATAAAAAATCGTCAAAGAGTTAATCAATAGTTACAAAAAAGCATTATTGCTTTTTACATATGGGATATTGATTAAATGAAAATGCATGCCATTAAAAAAATATATTGAAGCATTTGTCAGTTACTAGCATTTTGAAGGATGCTCATCAATGTCTAATTAGGCATGTTTATA